TTGAACGTATGGTTCATAAAAGGATGTTATTAAGCTCTGCTAATGCAGATAAGCTTTCTTTCAACACATGGTTTAGTCATAGTTACCAAATCTTGGTTGAGGCAACCACGATTTTGTTTGAGAGTGGAACATATTCATGCTTGTGAGCCACCCCTAAAGAATGCTGAGCGCTCTCTGAGCACATATGTATTTCACATACGAAGAGCTGAGCAACGCACACAGTCCCACTTATTGAATCGTTTGAATGTGCTAGTATGCCGACCATTGCATTGTGCGTGGAAATCATTGTTCCGCTACCGCTGTTCGTACATGGGTGAAACACGCATGTGGTCCCAGAGCTATGGTATGTCGATCGCTGCGCTAGGTAGAGAAAGAAAATAGTGTGCTATGGCATGCACAGAATTGTTTGTCTCAGTTTTTCTATCACCGCGAGTTGTTTCGGTGCGCGCATAGTTATTTAAAAATATAACGTTTGATGCCAACCGAGGTTTTTCAGTGGATATATAATTCATGTGAATTATAATTTGAAAGTGTCTATTTAGCCAAGGAAAAAGCAAAGTAGTATACTTCCAGCAGACATTGACCTGGGTTTTCGCACGACTGTTCCTGTATCATCGTTGTTTTTTAGGAAATTCTTACCACCATATACATATGTATTATTTACTTTAGTAACTAACTTATGTAAATATGTACGTATTTTTTATGCTTAATATGTATATGCAAATAAAAGAAGAAAGTAAACACAACAAACATCGAGCAAATTTTTATTTGTGTCAAACTGAAACTTTTTTTCCAATAATAAACGGTTAGCTGATTCAAGTCTACAGCAAGTTCACAAAATTAATTGAAAACTTGTATCAACCAAAGCATTGTTTATATTTGCTCAACAATGACTTTATTCAACTAACAATATTGTCCAATCAAGGTAGTCGTTTTGTAATTATTAACAAATATACATTTGTCCCAACTAAAAGTCTTAAGTAAATTGCAGACTTTCGTGAACTATATATTTATTTCGCCATATCCAACTATGCCACTTGATCACTATAACCAAATCTTGGTTATTATAACTAAACCTTTTTCTGGGTGCAACGAAAGGAATCGTGCAGAGAAAAATATATGTATGTATGTACATATATGTACATATGCAATAACTAAATACAAAGCGAATGGCTGCAATGAATAAAAAAAATAAAAATGTTTTTTAATTGAATTGGATATGAAAATTTACAGAAAAAATATATTTTTTTTAGGTAATTGAAACGTTTGCATACATATAAAACGTACCCTATGGTACAATTGTCACAAACGAAAAGCAAACGTTTCTCGTTGGGGAAAATGTGAAATCTTGTGAATGATGAAAGTGAATCTTACAATTTGTTTCTGACTATGTACAAAACTTTACAAAACCACAAATGATATGATGATCGATGAGCAAATGGGTATTGTTTTGTACAGTCTATTTTCGTACCCTGGTTCAAATATCTTTGAACATGGATACATATCTGCCTGTGTAATAACCAGGGAACGGATTTTTAGGACCTAAAACCTATAAAAAAAGGCAAAATAAAGTAACGAAATAGGCTGGAAAGGCAAAATAAAATAGCGAAAAAGGCAGGAAAAGGCACTAGGTGTTGCAAAAAAGGCAAAAAAATGCAAAACAAAATAGCGAAAAAGGCAGGAAAAGGCACTTGGTATTGCAAAAAAAGCAAAATAAGGCACTAAAAAAAGACAGAAAATACGAAGAACAATTAAAAAATACATTTATTTTAGAAATGTTTATATTACAAGTAAAAAGAGAAAAACTATGAACTAGTTTCATTATATGAAAAATTTGTACTTTGAATCTTTGACTATTTTATCCTTTCGAGTTTCTAACTCATAAAACTTTAATCTGTATAGTTGTAGTAACATTGACCAACAAGATGCATTTTGAAGTTTTCTGGCAGCATTTTCATTCGATTTTCGCGAATAAAAGCCTTGAATGTACTAAATGTGCGCTCGACGTAAGTTGATGCAAGTGGAGCCCAATTTAAACTTGGAACGTTTGAAACGTTCATATCATTAGGAATAACGGCGTTTTCCTCGCCCTTTAGAATTTTATCCACACCCCTTATTGTCTCCAAGCCTACGTTAGCTGAGAAAACGGCTTTGAATTTTTCCAACACCAATTTGGCAAGAGGTCCCTGCGCTTCTAAAAGCCGCATAGGCAATGTGTATATTTTTTAATCTTAAAAAAAAAGTTTAAATGCTATAATCACTTTTTTAAAGGTAGCAAAGGCAAAAAAAGGCAAATATCTTTAAAAAAGGCAAAAAGAGGCAACATCAAATGAGTATATCAGGGAAAGCTAAATCGTGGACATTCTTAATCGAATATACTCTATCTCTTTAGCAGAAAAAAAGGCAATTTCCATAAAATCCGTTCCCTGGTAATAACATTAAATATAGCAAGAACTTTTAAAAAATATGTATACATAAAGTAAGAAAATTGTATATAAAGAAGAAATATTTAATAAATATTCAGAATCGTAAAGACTCTCAACAAACCATTTCATCTGCGCTTCTCTTTTTTCTCTTAATTTTATTTTATATGCTTTACTTCCCCCCACCAGCGGTAAGGGGTGAAGTATTCAACACTCTTTATTCTTCTTTCTTTATTAAAGTTTTACTTCCCCCCACCAGCGGTAAGGGGTAAACTTTTAATATTGAAAGTACTAACCTCTTATTTTATTAGACTCTATTTCCCCCCACCAGTGGTAAGGGGTAGAGAATTTTAAAATAAGAGTATTTGTTGTTCAAGCATTGCTGAGAATTACCCGAGGTAAGGAACAAGTGACTCAGCTCTGCAACGTACACATACATAGCCACATATGGACGTTGTCAAGCCAGTGATTTAGTTTGTTACTTGTCGACATCTATAGTGAATGTAGAGGCTTAAGTAGAGAATTCTGAATTTATATATAGTAAAGGCATTTCACTTCAACATTACTAAATCCAATATAGTCTAATCAATGTAGCTCATGTATACATGTCAACCCGTAAATTAAATGCCCCCGTATGAAAAAAACACTGAACGATTCGGAAAAACGTCCTGAACAGCATACCAAAATGTTTATCCCTAATCCGGTGTCCTTGTTATTGAAATTATTAATTATCTCGAACTTTTCGTGTGCATTTTTCTTGGTCTCGTGTTATTTGTGAGGGAAGTTTGACTGCTAGAGGTCAGACACGATTAGTCAACCAGAAGGGAATAAACATGCCCCCTTTTCCAAGAACCTTTTTTTCTCCATGTTTTATATTTTGTATCTCCATACTAAGTTCCAGTACTCTGCCACAAATACTTCCAGAGATATCGAAAATTCTATTTGTAGGCTATATTCCACACCCCATTTTCCAATAGCTCTCATTCTTCTCCATGAATATAGGATTAATTTTACATCTCCTTCTTCTTATTTGGCACTGTAACCGCCTAAGCGATTTTGGCCGAGTTCAACAAAGCACGCCAGTCGTTTCTCTTCTGTGCCAACTGACGAGAAATTGGAAATGCCCAGTGAAACCCAGGCATTCTCCACTTGGTCTTTCCATCTCAGTGGGGACCTCCGTTTTCCTTTGCTATCACCAGCGGTTTCAGAGTTGAATACTTTCAGAGCTGGAGCGTCGGTGCCTATTCGAACGACATGGCCAAGCCAGCGGAGCCGCTGTAACTAACTTAATTCGCTGCACTATGTCCATGTCGTTGTAAAGCTCATATAGCTCATCGTCTTTCTCTATCTATCGTCTTTCTATCTTTCTCTGGAATACTCCAAGAGCCGCCTCATCGGATCTTGTCATTGTCCATGCTTCAGCGCCATATACCAGCAGTGGTTTTCGTACGTCGAGAGAGGACTTTACTCCTGAATTACCTTCGCAGTCCAAAGTAGCACTTGTTGGCAAGGGTGACTCTACGTAGGATTTCCATGCTGACATTATTATCGGTGTTAATGTTGGTTCTCAAGAAAACGAAATTCTCCACTCGCTCGAAATTAAAGTTGTCAACAGTGACGTTGGTGCTAAGGCGCGAATACGCTGACTGTTTGTTTGATGACGAAAGATACTTCGCCTTGTCTTCGTTTACCACCAGACCCATTCGCTTTGCTTCGTTATCCATCTTGGAAAAGACAGAACAGACATAACGGTTTATGTTACCGATGATGTCGATTTCATTGGCATACACCAGCAATTGCCCGCTTTTGTAGTAAATTTTTCCTGAGTGGTTCAGTTCTGCGGCTCTTATTATCTTCTCCAACATCAGATCAAAGAAATGATTCGAGAGGGAGTCAGCCTGTCTGAAACCTCGTTTGGTATAAAACGACTCGGAGAGGTCCTTTCCAATTCTGACAGAGCTGGTGGTATTGCTTAACGACATTTTACACAGCCGTATCCGCTTAGCGGGGATACAAAATTCATACATAAATTCATACATGAAGTCGACAAATAGATGGTGAGTGTCGATCCTTTTCTAGTGGGTCCTTTCCAAGATTTGATGTGTTGTGAATACCTGGTCTATGTTGGATGTGCCAGGTCTAAAGCCAAAATGATAAGGCCCCATCAGTTCGTTCACAATGGGCTTCAGTATTTTGCACAATACGCTCGATAAGACCTTGTCATCTATGCTTAAAAGGCTAATCCCACGGTAGTTGGTGGGAATGGCGGAGTCGCCTTTCTTGTGGATGGGGCAGAGCACACTTAAATTCCTGTCGTCGGGCATGCGTTCATCTGACCATATTGTGTGTATTTATGCAAAATATTCTTCGGCTCTGCACCCATGACAAGAAACTCCAAGCGGCAGCTCCCACGAACACAATAGAAGGAGGAATGAAAGACCCATCTATCTTTGGTATGCTTATGTGAGTTGGTCTAGCTGCGAATCTGATGTCGAAACCTCATCACCAGTTCAAAAAAGTTAAATTCCCCCATTGCCAGTTTGTTGGCCCTGAACTTTTCTGTAAGGCTTCTATGGTATGGAAGTCAAGTAAGCTTGATAGCGGTTGAGATGGTCGGGAAGGAATCGGACAGTGCCTGACAATTTTCGAAAGCATTAGTTAGGACTTAAAAACCTTAATTGTCGACTGGAGATCGGTGTTTGTATATTTTTAAATCCTTGAATGGCATTATATTAATTGCATCAATCCGCTGCTTCATTTATGGCCGCAACCTTTGAATGGAAAACAGAGCGATTCAATGACTCGTTAGCTTCAATTTGAGACAGTTGGGGTGTTTATCGCAAAAACACCGCCAGCTACCCTTATATTCAACTTCGATTGTTGATGGAATAAGTTCACTAGATACTAATTCCTAAGATTGTTCAATTTTAAGATATGTCTAAGCTCGACTATGTCTTTGTTTCAGAATTGCGCTTGCCAGCAGCACAACGTCGGTGTCATACTTCGATTTCCAATTAAAAGAGGAAATTGATGAAAATCCAACATCAGCATCTTGCAGTAATTCGGTCATTAGCAGTACAACAACAACAGTGACAGTTGGCAGTAATTTCGTAGGAGCTGCAACTGATCACAGTGGCCGCGGCACCAGTTGGCACAATAGCAACGGTAACGGTAATTTCGAAGGCGTTGGCGTTGCGCCAGTTGCAGCATCACCAACACTGACACCACCCACACCGATTAGTCCACGTGAATCGCAAAGTCCCGATGGTCATACGTCGGTTAGCTCGACCGGGTCCAGTGATACCATATCAGGTAAGTTAGCAAAATATTATCTCCGATTTCGTATACAATTAATTTCCTTCAAATAATTTGAACAAGATTAACCAAGCTGGCTGCTATCAGATTTTTATCAGCAGCACATGTTACTACATAACAGGCAGGGACAATAAACGCTTGTCATGTGCTGGTGAATAACATTTAATTTCCAAAATTCCTTAATAAAAAAAAAAAAATAAAACAAATAGAAAATGAGTAACGAGTTGACATGCAAAATGCAAAGCTTATGTTGCATGTATGCTGTAGCAGTGCATCAGCAACAAAAACAATCACTTAGTATACAAAATGCAGTTATTGTAAAATGTTAAAGAAATTAGTGGGGTTTTTGTTTACTGCTTTTTGTGTACTTTCTGACTGCCACGCCACTTTCTGTCGGTTATCTTAAGCGAACGTCCAAAATGTCTCATAAACATGTTATGTAATGTGATGGCAAGCTACAACAAGAGCAACAAGCTGAGCTGTGCAGCTAAATATTTCCTTGTTGCGATTGCACGTTCCAACGCTGCTGTTACAATTTTCCCTTGGGCCGCTAAGAAACACTTTTATTTATGGATATTTTGCCAAGATTTTGCTTTTATGGTCCTTGTTATTGTTGCATTTCAGTCTCCTCCTAACCCAATGTTGTAAGCAGCAACTTTTGTTTAGCACAGTGGGTCGATGGTTATGAAACTTCAAGCAAATATTCTTTCATTGATTAAATTTCTATACACCCTTCGTAAAATTTTACAATTTCTATTTAAACTTTTACGCCACTTATATTAAAATTTCATATTTACATATGTCCACCTGGCAAAGGAAATCTGCTTTGGAAGGAAGTCGCAGGTCAAAATTCCAGACCGATAGGTCTAGTCAAATGGTTTAGCTGAACTAGATCCCAGACAAGTACACTAGTATACAGGCGGATCAAAGATGGAGGGCAGAGTAGGAACGGGTGTGTTTGGATCTGGCACCAAACTTTCTATTGCAATGGGTATTTGGTCCATTTCAGGCCTAGGTACTAGCAATCCCAATTTGTGTCAAACTGAACCTTGAGAAGGGTTTAAACCGGCGCCTTTCTAGTTATCTTTTCGGATTGCCAGGGGACCATTAGGTTCCTATCCAATAGGACGATCACCGCCAGGCTCGTCAAGAAGTGCTTTGACAGTATCCAACTCTTGGCAGTAAGGAACACGGTATTACCTATCTCCATGCACCGGATTGGTATTTCCACAGACGGATTGCCGTCTTTGCCTTTAAGACAAGGATACGTCGAAGCACATTGGGGCTCAAACATAAAAAGTGAGCCTAAGATCAGTCTAGTTTTTGCATTGATGAAATGAGCTCAAGCTTAAGAATTTGTACTGAAAATCGATTCAGAGCTTAAGCTCGTTTTTTATGCATGATGGCCATTTTGTGTGATTGTCCAGCATTAGCCAGACTAAGATTGCAATACCTCAGTTCTTCCACAGTCGATGCCCTTAAGGTTAGAAATTCGCCCACCAAGAAACTTTTAACTTTTATTTGGGACGCTGATAACATCCTGGGCCGTCACGGTTAGGAACCGTCATAGGCATACAGCAGATCTTCTAGATCGCGGTGCCCTTTGTTTCTGTTGCATCCATAAAATTTACATTACATTAAATTTTGTTCTCATCCTGATCGTGGCGATGTTTGAAAAACTCCTTCAAGACGGTAACCATAATCAATTAATTGGATAAAAGTTTTCTTGTTCTCACCGCAGAGCAGTAATTTTCTATAAGTTATTTCAATAGTCAGCTCTTATCTCTTCCCTGTCAGCATAGGGGTTTCATGGCAAGGGAGGTTTCTGGTCTTATTGACAGAGCAGCTGCTGTTTACCCTGCTTTGCTATCAAACTCCACGCTATTCTGTTTGTATATGTGGTCCGAGACCCATGCCTTCTTGTCCTTGTCTATAGCTCACGTATTTCCTAATATTGCCGTTTTGAGCAACCATCTGATTTTCAGGGCAACCATATCGCCTGACAAAGCTTCAAAGGGCAGAAAATGTGCCTCTTTTGCCATACAAGAGTGACATTTGCTTGCCTCTATTTTAGAATCGAACACGAAAAGAGAAAGGGGCAATCAAAAGGCGAAATTTTTTGGTAGAAACGAAAACCCCATTAGTGCCACGCCACTATCGCTTTAACTTTCAGATTTTCGTCAGCCTGGAAGATGATAGATGGCGAAGGAGACTAAAAGGGCTTAGGGCCATTTTCTTCTATTTAGCTATACCTTCATCGGTTTTAGAATCATTTGTGCAAAATATCTTTAGGTGCAGGCTTCAAAAATTTGTTATAGAATCCTCCGGCCCCAGGTGGCTTTGCTGTCTAGTTTGGTTTTGAATATTTTCTTAAAGGCGGGCGTCTTGTCCATGTTTTATCTTTCAAACTGGGATATGATAACTTTTGTTTTGATTCCCGCATCGAATCTTTTTTAGATCACTCAACCAATACTTGTGCTATCACTCGTGAAGTGTAAGAGGACCTTCTTGGAGGTGTGTTTTATGACTATATGCGGTGGCTTCAGGTCAAGCATGGCCTCCAAGGCTGTAGTGAGGCAGATGCGTATGCCGCCTGCTTAAGCCTGGTGAACGATCCAATCACCATGTTGAAGACGTTGCTTTTGACCCTTGTCTCCGTTTCACTTTTATTTTCCAGCCAGTCTTCTGCACACGATTAAAGCACGCGTGGGTATTGAAGTCCGTTGTAAGCAGTTGGAAAAAAATACCCCAAAAATGCGGCGCTTTTTATTAAGGATATGTATATTAGGGTGGTCCAAAAACAGTAAAGTCGGAATTGTAATGCTCTCACCTCCTAAGATTGTTCTATATCGAAAAAAGTATACCCCTATTTTTTATTTTGATACCAAAAAATTTTTAGAGGTCGCTAAAAGCGCTTAAAGTTTTCCATGTATTTTTATATGGGGAAAAAACAACTTTTCGTAGAAATTGTATAGAAATCTTGAAAATCAATATTTTTCGATCGGAAAACTCTGGTTCTCTTTAGGAGATTTCAATAATAATACCTGATTGTTTTTTTTAACCATTTTTTAATACTAACGATTTTTTATTGGTCGCCCATTGAATTTTTCGGGGTTTTAGTGGGTTTTTCGCGGACCTATAAATTATAGTTGCGATGGAAAAATGGTTAAATAAACAAGGGGGTATTATTTTTGGGAATCTCCTGCAGACAAACAGAGTTTTTTGGTAGAAAAATATACATTTTTCAAAATAAAAAAACAAGGGTATACTTTTTTCGGTATAGTACAATCCTAGGGGGTGAGAGCATAAAAATTCCGACTTTACTTTTTCACATGCATTTTTGGACCACCCTAATGTATATACATATCGACGGCTGAGTGGAAGTTCGACCTACCTGGGCAGCCGGTTCAAAAACTCAGAAAATGGCTCAAGAACGCCCTACTTCAGAATTTGATTGAAGAACGCCTTATCTGATATATTGAATTTACACTGAGATAGGTCGTTCTTCAACCAAATTCTGAAAATGGGTGTTCTTTGAAAAAATTGCTGAGATAGGGCGTTTTCGAACCGGCTGCCGAGGTAGGTCGATCTTCAGCTCAGCCGTCGATATAAGGCAAATCTATAAATGTATAATTTAAATGAAAGTTGCTTTACTTCAAACATATTTCCATATATTGACACTGCTCTTTAATAAATAAATATAAAATTTTTTAGTTTTAACAGAAACATAAACCTCTTTCCGTTGGAAACAATGACAAAATCACACTTTAATCTCATTATTTTGGCTTCTTGTTCATGATAGATAATATTATTTAAGATATTATCGGTCAAAATAAAGAAATTATTACATACATATTTTTTTTATTATATGTAATATTATACGAATTTTATTAGTTACAACTTCGCAACGCGGTGAGCATAGCGTGGTCTATGAAGCCCGCCTCTCATGCAGATGCGTCCTGTTCACACGAACAGCAATCGAACTTCAGCTACTAATGCTGTGATATGCCTGACACGTTTATTATAATAGTTGTTTTTGGTCAATCTTATAAAATGCATTATCTTCAGCTTTGTATAAAGAACAAGATTCCGATACGCGAATCTGTATTTAAACGAAAACTTAAAAAAGATATACAGATATACCTACATAATCAAAAAGTAAAAATAACCGCTCGTGCTCAGATAGCCGTAGATGCGTATGTAACGTATACGCCCCGTAAGGAGGACTTTCACCGTTTAATTTTAACGTTTTAAAGTACACTTGCGATCAGCTAATTAAACCAGTAACGTTTTGATCAATTGTGGCCATTTTTCTCTTGTTTATTTAATGCTTATTAGTTTTTTATAAAAGTCTAGCTTATTTTATAACAAACCCCATATAAATCCATATTTCAAACTTTGTGCAAAAGTTATAAAAAATTTGTAAATTTTCATCTAAATTTTCAACTTTTTATTCAGATTTTTCACAATTTTTTTGAGCATATAATTTTGTAGTTTATTAATATGGTATAATAAATAGAGTGCCATATTGAAATGGATAAAGAATCGCGTTGATTTTTAATTCTTGTTTTTTACTGTAGATATTACGAATTTTTTGCCATACAAAAAAAAATTATTGAATATACTGTGTATGGGAAAATGCGTAATACAATCAGAAAAAAATTATTAAAAATCAAAGCGATTTTTATCAACTTAAAACTTGCACTTTATTATATTAGAAGTTAATGGGCTATCAAACTGCATACTCACAAAAAAAAAAAATAAATAAGTATTAAAAAAAAAATAGCCAAAATTTATCAAAACGTTGCTGGCTTAATTAGCTGATCGCAAGTGTATATTAGGGATGTTACTTTTTTCGACTTATTCCGATCCCGGGATTTTCGGGATGTCGTTATCACAATCCCGGGATGCCGGGATTAGTCCCGGGATTTATATATTCATTACTTTTAAACAACTTTAATCGAAAAAATTGCTTCTATCTCTCCTACCATAATATA